TTTTTCCAATATGCTGAGGAAAAATTTCAGTTACGTCGAAATTCTTACTTAAATCAGTTAGTTGAACAGGGTTTCATAGATTCCATGCTAATTGCCTTAGGCATTGGTAGCAAAGCAACGGACAAAAAGCAGGATAGTGCATTTATTTCTTATGCCATACACAGGTAAACTTTATCCCGAACGTAATTCGATTGTGTGGTTTCTTCCAAGGATCTCATGACAGAAGTGAACTTTCATCAAATCAGCTTGTGTATTAGGTACGTGGTATATAAGTTTCAGGGAAATGAATTGAGACGTGTATTTACACCTCCGTCATTTTTATACTGGGTGATGACCGAAGGTGAGATGGGAGTTCGGACTGCGGCCGGATTCGAAACAGCGACCACCGGGTTTGCAGCCCGATGCCCTGGCAACTCAGCTGCCAGATTGTTAAGCAGGAAAAAAGATATTTTAGGACCTGGCAGATCTTCCTAGTTATTGAGGGTTCCCAGGCATACTTCAACGGCTTGTCAGAATACTGTGATATCCAAAGTTACAGGATTATATTGAGTGATACGCGGTCAGTGATGTCAAAAGGGCAAAGAAGAACATTGAAGCAGAATGATGTGAATCCATTTTATTATTTCAGTGATTCGCCTCAGCTCTTTACAGCCTGTAATGTTTACAGTAACCAATTACAATAAAATATCGACCTACTTTACTTTAATGAGATCAGCCTAAATAGGAGAAGATATAACGAAGTGAAGAAACGTGAGTGACTTATTAGAAAATGAATTCAGAAGTAAACAACCAGTTATTTTTAACCCAACAATTTTAATACAGTAATTTGCAGATTCAGATAATTATACGATTTTCATAGTCTACTTACTAGTTACTCTTCACATACTCTTATTTTTTTGGATAAGGCATAAAAGTTAGTGTTAGCAAGTTTCTAAACTAATCAAACATTCTGTCAAGGATCCAGTATCAAGGTAGATGAACTCTGTATGTCGATTCTCTTAGTTCCAAGAAACTAAATATAAGAGTCATAATAGATTCTTCCTTTTGAATATATGGAACTTTCTTTTTGAACTTCTTTTGTGAGGTAACAAAAAAGAGAGAAATAAAGTTTTTAAATAATTTTAACCCATAGGGAATAAATAGTCTCAAACTTCGTACTGTTTACTGGGAATGTGTTTACTTTCATATATTTGGCTATAATAAACTTAGTTCAGTTAGGAAGTGATTGATCTCAAACTTATTTTCATCATGGGTTAACATCTACTGGGGATCAAGCGGTATTGAATATCAATTTTTTGCAGATGCGGAGCTCAGCGTTCGTATGCAGGCTGTCACCCTGGATTGAATACAGGACCTTCAAGTTCAGCACTCACAACGCTACTACTTGCTTGAGGGATTGGAATTTAACTGTCTACAGTTACCTACTTATGTAGATTCGTGATATAGTATAACTATCCTCCAATGTAACAAATGAATAATTCCCTTCACATCGGACTTGATTGATATCTTAATTTACTGCTTCTCACATGGATTCTCAAAATGGCATTTATCCTTGATTTCTACTACTTTGAAGAGATGAATTTATTTCACTTACCTAGGTGAGTTGTTTACCATATGCACTCAAATTGGGAGTTGAGTCGGGAAAATATTCTTACTTCCTCAAAGCATAACTATATATATATATATATATATATATATATATATATTCGAGATGGATATCCCGAATATTTCATGAGAAGTTGTGACTAAAAGGGTCTACCAGGTGGAAGTGAGGCGAATACCAACTTAACACTTTGGTAGACAGTCATGCTATTTCGTGAACTGACAAGAGTAGAAAGTTATCGGCCACTGAACTCTAACCAGAATGGTTGAGTAATTAACGCATTCACTGAAAAACCTTCAGGTCCTGAATTCTATCTTTGGGGAGTAGTAGGTGCGCACTGTAGGTTATCTTTTGAGGATAAGTGAACAATTCCTAGGCACATATACAGGATCATTTCAGGAAAATAAAAATTCGTTCTCAATGAGCGCAATAGCCAACTTTGTAGTGCCTATGTCAACGAATTTCTGTTTAACCGTAAATTCGTGAAGAGTAACTTTCCTTAAGTCAAATATCCATAAAATGGAAGCGAGGTCGGTTCCTTAAATTTCAAAATGAAATATTCTGAATATCTTCTCCTAATCAAAATATTTTTTGAGAAGATTCGGTTCGCTTTCTATAGAATCAGAGGTGTAGACACCAAGAATTCTATGACACATAGAATCAGTCGGAATCAGTGAAAACCGCTATTCACCTCCTCCATCCTTACTTTCTAATCTTCCTTCAAGTCTCCAGTTAACAGTCTAGTGTCATCTTTGAGTTCTTCTAGCCCTGTAGTTTTCGACAACGATCTGAGTCCACAAAACAGCATTCTTGGTCTGCTTAAAGCACGCACCGCCTCTTATTGTGCTTGAAGCCTGAAGATATGCTCTCATGTACATCATATTAATTCAGAAGTTGTTGAGTTCCACTGACCCTTTCTAAACCGCTCTTTGAGAATCGGCTGTGGTCTGGAGATGGCACCAAGCTTCTTCTGGATGAGTGATAGCGCTCTCCTCAGATAACTGTCTAACCAGTTTTTCACTGAAAGCAGCCTTAATGCTCTCATTGTTGACCATTTATTTTAAATTTTCTGCAAATAGATTCTCTTATTGTTCGATTGTGGAATTCTTATTCATGGATATGTGAAAAGTAAATCTTAAGGTCATGTTACTTCCCCAACGCGAAAGTGATCTCGAATGACCGGTTGTTCAAACGTAGTAGAACACTTAAATTGTATACATTATTGAAGATATTGAAGATGTTGGCCATATATTTTATCATCAAATTCGAATAAGCCGATCATTCTGTTCAAATATTTGTTTTCTGTCTTCGACATGCTGAAGTTTTCCAGAAGAAGACCTAGTAGTAAACCTATAGTTAAGGGACTTTCGGCCTATTTACGTCAATATCAAAAGGAAATTAGGCGTTTAAGGCTCGTATCAATAAAGGTTCTTCAAGATAATGCATAGATAAGCAGGATTTATTTTGTAAAAATCAATAGAGCTACATAACATAGTGTCTTAGCCAATAAGATGCCCGTTAACAACTAGACTGCATTTGAAGAAAACGATTGCAACAGAGCAATTAAAATTACTGTTATGACTGATAAACTTACAAATAATAATAGTTGCCCTCTGATTTGCACTAAAATTATGGAAAATCTATGATAAGGTTAGTTGAAGTGTACAAAACTCCTATCGTTTAACTTCTCAAAGTATTTTATCGTCTTCAGTTTGTTAATATAACTATCTAACTGTTAGTTATTGATACTTGTAATCCTTCGTTTTTATACTGCATCGAATCAGTTGACCTGTATTGGCATATGGGCTCCTATGCAGACGCTTTGATATTGCCTGATTGTTCATTATTTTGTAATTTGCTATATGGATTCCACTGGTAACCGCTACCAAGAAAATGACAACATAACTGTCCAACGATGGTTCATAAGAATTCAGTAGTATAGAGTCATGAAGTCAAGTATGGAGTTTAGTTTGAAATAAACCAAAACTGATTTTAGTATTTCAACGCATCGAATCGAATGCCGGAGAGTTATCCATTAGCCCACTGAGTTACGACAGCAATTCCTTCTGCAACGGCTATAGTTTGAAATTAGAACTTATTATTTTCCGTTGTTGATTAGTTTTCGACGGCACTAATCAACCTTTTGGAATTTGGGCTTCCGTGCAGATGTCTCGATATAGCCGATGATTTCACTTTGATAATGAGGGTGAATATTAGCTAGCAATGGAATTCAGGAAGCGCATTTCGTCTTCTGTAGTGTTCGTCAGCTAGATATATGTCCACCCGTAAGTGACTGACTAATTTTATATCAAGGCGGTATTATTCAACAAGAGTGAAATGTTTTTGTAATTCATTCATGCAAATGAAAAACCCCAGGTGCTAAAAAGAATCATATCATCACATATAATCATGTTGAAATTCTAGAATATCTAATAATACGCTGGCTACGTTTTACTTTCCAAAGATAACACGTTTTACTTCCACCTTTACAAAACCACAAGCGCACTACACTGTTTGATGTAGACACTGAATAAACGTATGAAATTTTGAATATCTTCAGTGGAACCACCAAAATGTTCAATACATATTATGAACTAATCATATGAAAAATGTTGCACGACAACCAATATGCCTGCTGAATTCAGCAGTAGAAAATGAAGTGATCGACACTGGTTATCACCTAACTCATGTAAGTAATTCCATCATTCTTTAACATTCATGACACGAATGTAGAAGCATTACTAACCTCCAATAGCATATTTCGGTCATAGTACCCGTAAGATATCCATTTTCTAACTAACAATCCAGTGTACAGTGTAGTTATGTGTTCTTCATTGATACAGAGCTCTGACGAATACTTTCCAAAGGACAAGTGACAACCCTGTCTTTACAATACAGTTTGCATGTGCTGATATTATTGAATAAAAAAAATGATATGAATATTATTTTAGATAAGCGAAGTGAATTATATGGACAAAGGTTGAAGGCTCTAGGTGACAGCTTATAATCGTAGGAGCTTAAATACACTCACTCAGTTGGAAATCTTGATACCATCTTTCATATTCTTTTGTATTGTCATCTCCTACTGTTTTACTTCAAGGATTCTTTCCACAGTAATTTCATGAAGAGTGGAAATGGAAAATTCATTTATAGATCTTGTTCATGGTGCATATTTTAGCCTACTTGATTCTCGATGGCTAAATATATTTCTTTGTTGAAGATGAGTTAAACAGAAGTCACTTTTGTTGATAAATCGAAAAAAAATATATTGAATTTAAACAAATAAAGAAGTATGAACAAAGCTTACTGAATACGTTAGCTGAATCAATAATGTCACTATTCCATCAAACAACAGAAGGGTGTAGAAACGATTAGATCCTGGCGGCATTTCAAATCTTTATTGCTTTTGTACAAACTGTTCAATAATCAGTTGACCTTTATCAACTCCGTATAATATGGTAGACAGTCTGTTTATCTCAGAAAGAATAGAATCATTATTATTTAAAACGGAAAAATCAATTTCTTTTCCTAAAAACTGATCCAATATTGTAAATTCTTTAGGTAAATTTAGTTGAATTACATTGAATTCATCAAAATAATTTATGGATAGATTTAGTAAATTTATCAATTCCCATAGATATTCACAACTAACTGTACCGAAATGCGATTGAACCCATTGAACTGATGATTTTAAACACCAGAATCCAGCATTCTGCCTAAATAGCCATTTTGACTGTTGTTTATCATCATCATCATCATTTAAACATTTTTCTGAAGAAGCTTTGAATGAATTAAATAGTATCGACCAATAGTATCTAGTAAACTGCCTAGATTTTCGTCTAATGGCCACCAAGAATCAGAAAGCTGTAGATTACCGGCTTGTTGTACAGAGTGGATTGCATTTTTTAATTTGTCCAGTGATTGAATAGGACTCCAAGGCAATAATAGTAGCTAAATATTAATTAAGAAAGCAGTTAAAGTGGGAAAACCAAAAGTGATGAATGAAGTACAACACAGTGATAATAATATACAACTTAGCGATGTTTGAGTCAAGGTTGATAATGACTTGAGTGTTGAGAAAGTTGTAGGGGTGGGTGACACTTCCTGGCTGCCCACGCCGTGGTAGGCTAGTTCCTCTTCACGTAACTCGAAAAGGAGGGTTAGTGAGTGACTGCAGAGCTCTAGGGACATCTGCTTGAGGCCGGTCACACAAGGCCTATCAGAAGTTTGAGACCTCAGTCTGTTTTTTTCGTGAGCCTGACTATGAATCTATGTCGCTTGCACCGGTATCCCGCGGAGTAGATGGGGGTATGCTATTTTCAGGGCTAACCTTTTATAACCCCCTTTATATTAAGAAGGCAGCACTAGCATGCCGTTGTTGGTCACCTGAAGGAAATACCTTACTGCTGTCATACCCCAATCCAGTCAGCAGTACAACTTTGCCTTCAGGCCTCCATCAGAGTATAGAGATCTGCACCATAACGGGGACTGCTTTTTGTCATATGACCATTATCCAACTGACCTTTCTGATGTGGTAAAACCTCGAGGGAATAAGTGTTTCACTAGTATAGCCCACAGGGTTATCGTGATATATAGGACTGACCGTCAAGGTAACAGCTATCGATCGGGATACTAGGCCATGAAGCAGCCACATCTATTACGTAGGAGTCAAAGATACTACCCAACCGCTCAAAAATGGCAGGAAAAGTCCCATCTATGTAACGGTTTGAAATAGTTTCAGTAAGCAATGATTTACAAACTGTACATAGTTTCTTCTTATTTAAAATCACCTTTTAACATCTGTAATGTACATTACTGGGTTAGACAGCTGTCATGTTGATTTGAAACAATTACCCCACTTCTTCCAGCTTAAATATGATTGAATAAAAAACAACTGATCTAATCTACATTGTTGTTGAGTAATTTTCAGATTTGAATGAAAAAAACAAGATTGGTTTGTGAATTATAGGATGATTTGCTGTTAACACGGTTGGTTTGTGTTTTAATTGCAAAGCTCTCATTCTCAAGTTAGATAACATTGGTAATTTGGTTGTTTGTGGCTAGCATAGTAATTCAGGGCGTGCGTCTCGTCCTGTTTGGAACTCGTCAGCACCCAGTGAGTGATGTCCTCCTCACCGAGACTCGAACCACGTGCCCATCGCTTTAAACGTCAAGGCGTTATCCACTCTGTCACGAAGGAACGATAGCCACTTTTTGTACAACGGGCAGTAGTTATTACTATTTATTGATATACTTGTAATTCTCCGTTGTTTTATTGGACTGAATTGTTCGACATCAATTAGCATATGGGCTCCTATGCGGATGCCATGATATTGCCTGAGTGTTAATTATGGTAATTTGGTTGGATAACATTGCTGACACAAATCTCAGAAAGACGACATAGGGTTTTGATAAAGTCTGCTAATACTGTTAAAATTACAACACAAATGATTGGCCGGAAAATGAGTTCTCAATCGTATTAGGATCATCACTTTACCTGAACCGGGGAATAATTTAACAGGTCTAACAAGAAACATTGGCAGATAACTGTACTTCTGACTCAACATACAGAGATCAAAATATAACCTGGTGCGCAAGTACATCGATTCAAGTTATCAAGCTACATAATAAAATGGGTATTAAAAGGTGGAAAGAAAATGACTGATAAAAAGTAGACAAAAGTATGTGAGAGGAGAGAGGATAAGTAGATGAAAATTAGTGAAAATATTTAAGACTTTGAAGGAGGTAAAGAGTGAATACCATTCGCACCACTGTGGCTGATTTTTCATTCACATCCTCAACAGTCTTCAACCAATCATTTATATCATCTCAAGGGACTCAGCCAGGTAATCTATACGTGCCATTTTTTGGTCTGATTTCCTCAGAACTCCTTACAACCTGGTCTTACTTCAGTGAACAATACACTTCGAGGTATGCGGTACCTCGACAGGTGTAACACATATCCAAGCTACCTCAATCACTGAAGGTTAACAATCTCAACGAATGACATGCCTTGCTTACCTAGTACTCTGGCCCTAACCTCAACACTACCCAATCATGCGCAAATAATGCTACAAAGATATTTATGGTAAAAAACCAGTAACCTCTTTATGTCTTCTGCTTTCAGTTGCCATGTCTTACAACCGTATGAATACACAGAGAGAACTGTAGTGTAGTATACTCATCCTATAAGAGGTAGTCGGATATCTCGCCAGTGCCAGATATCAGGTAAGGTGGTTAGTGACAGACAGGCTTTTTTAAACCGAGTTGAGATTTCATCAGTAAACAACTCATTTGAGTAGATGCAGCTCTTCGAATAAGTGAAGTAGTCCACGTAATGTATCATTTAATTCCCTATCCTTAAATAAAGGGTTGATAGAGATCAGTCCTGAAACAACATGCTACATTTGACAGGTGCAGAACACGGCAGATATAAACAGATTTCCGCTTAAAACACTCAGGAAAGTCCACATCAGGTCAGCGTTTTCGTCGAAAAGGACTACGTATCCTATGTACTCTAAGTCAACTAAGCGTCCTGTAGTGAGTAAGTCTGTTTCTGATACGTCTGACGTACTTAGCGTTATGACCATCAGCACGTTTATAACAAAGCTGAACAAGAATGGTGACAGTTGATATCGCTGGGCTCGCATCACTGACTGTTGCTGCTTTAGATAAACATGGTTATGTGAGTTCCAGTACGGAGCCATGATAAGTAATACATACTTGCTCTGTAACTTTTTTCATAGTTAAAAGCTGCCACAACACCTCATGGAAGACGGGATTGGTTGCTACTCTGGGGTTAAGAAATATGACAAGTGCCGGGCGCTGGTAAGCTTGCCTGCGTTCCGAAACTTGTCGAATGATGAAGACATGATCAATATACACTCATTCGAGTCTGAAATCTAACTTATTTTCTCTAGTTTATTGTTCTCAAGCTACAGTTAGGATTCGGATCATTTAAAGCACAATGTTAGTTAAAATGACTATCACACAAAGACTATCTCTCCTTTTGTATAGACCCAGATGATCAGCGATCTAGACCAGTTTGATAGGACTACCTCAGATTCTCATACATTAGCTAACACTACTGTCAGTCTACTCAGTGATTTCTTACTTCTCTCCTTAAAACCTTTTGGCAGCGAGCAGGCAGGTCCTGCTGTTCTGTTCCATTGAGGTACAGACTATATTTTAGGGAAATGAAGCATAGCTGTGGGGCAGCTGAACTTTACATTGAAGTGTTCTCCGTAGTGTTATAACCACCTGTCCATAAAAGTTATCAGGAGCTCACCTTTTTCTATGTCAATCTCAGTGACTATTATCTTCTTCTTGCTAGTTTCTTTAATACACCAAAGCAACTGTCAAGGATTTTACGTAATACTGACGTCTCCTTCATCTCTTTCCCCACTCATCACTGCTCGCAATTATTACAAAGAATCCTAGTCAACTGAACTTTGAATTTCTTTCTCTCCACATGGTGATCAGAAATAGCTGAAATGAGCCTTCACACAATAATCAATCAGTTTGGATAAGATTATGGAAATCCTCTGACCTTCCCTAACTTTTGGATGTGGGTTACCAATCAACTACCTTTACTACTTTTTCAACAGCACACTATTTTAGCGGGCTTGATTTGCGTAAGAGTTGCTTCCATGTTTCGATAAGTGCCTAAATACTTCTTCCCCAGTAGCTAACTTAATGTTTTTGTCTTCCGACTAACTTACGTGTAGTACAGCTCCATACTACATAACAACAAAATTCTTCATGCCTGATAACATATCATTTTTTAACCATCGAAAAATGATGCATCAAAGTGTTTATCGATGCAGATAAATAAAAACTGCTGAAGGTCAGATAGGAAATCAGAGTGTATACCCGTAATTTATCAATAATTCTGTTCAGATGTACACTGAATCAAAAGGTCATCAAATATATTTTCAACGTACAGTAGGCGGTAAAACAAGAGTTAAGACGCAGCTTATTGAGTTGGGCACTCCACTTCCAACTAATGAATTATTTAGCATATTAATATTTGTCCCTTCGGTTCCTAATGGAACATAGGGCTTCAATAGCACGTCTCCATTCCACTCTGTTCTCTGCAATCTTTTGAACCTGGCTCCACGACAGCCCACAAGCTCTCATTTCCTCCTCACACGATCTCCTCCATGTCACCCTCGCCTAAGACGCCCAACTCATCGTTTCCCGTCTGGGTTCCACTCGAGTGCCTGGCCTGGCGCGTGATGTCTCCAAATGATCTTCTCACTGTATGCCCAATCCATCTCCACTTCCTTCCAACGCATATTTGTTGATTTATAGGTTCTTGGTTGGTTCGTTGACAGCCAGCCAGCCAGAGTTCCTTGTTGCTTATTCTTATTATTCTGGCCATCCGAGCTTCAGCAACGAGCGTAGGCAGTTGTTGATGAATATCTGTAGTTTGTTGGAAATGTTTTTCGTGATGGGCCAAGTTTCTGAGACATACAGAAGCATTGACTTGACGTTGGTGTTGAAAATCCGGATCTTGTTCCACATGCTGAGTGCAGAAGATCTCCACACTGGTTTCAGGTTAATGAACACCTATCTTGCTTTTCCGATCCCGGCTGGCTTTGATGTCCTCGTCTGTGCCGCCACCTGTAGTTGAAACAATGCTGTCTAGATAGGTGAAGGAGGTTACTTCCTCTAGGTTTCTCCCGTTGATGGTGATTGGAGTTTGTTGTTGGAGTTGTTGGTTGGGTATCTTCATCACCTCAACCTCTGTCTTCTCCATATTCACTTGAAGTCCCATCTTCGCTGCGCTGCCTCACCTCTTCTGTCAACTTGTTAGTTTTCGCCTGTAGATCTTTAGGTTTGTGTGACATTAGACACAAGTCACCGGCGAAATCCAAGTCTTGTGGGTTCTTTTCCGCAGTCCAGCGTATCCCCTTCTTCTCGCTCCCCACTGTTTGTTGCATGATCCAGTCGACCACAATCAGGAATATCATGGGTGATAGTAGGCAACCTTGTTTCACTCCTGTCTTCACTTCAAAAGCATCACTGAGCTTCCCATTGTGAATTACTTGGCATGTGGCATCTTCATATAGTCGTTGAATGAGGTTGATAAAGGTTTGTGGGACTCCGTAGTGCTGAAGCAGCTGCCAAATCACTTTTCGGTTGACGCTGTTAAAGGCCTTCTCAAAGTCGATGAAATTGAGTTGACTGCTATTCTATACTCTGTTCTATGATGATGCGTAGCGTAGGGTTGCAATTTGGTCCGCACATGATTTGTACTTCCTGAAGCCTGGACAGGAGCGTGATTCCGCGCCAGTTCTTGCAAACACTGAGGGCTCCCTTCTTCGGGGTTTTGACAAGGTAACCTTTCTTCCAATCAATAGGCAGGTACCTTCCCTTCCTTCTACACCTTCTGCAATAGTGGTGTGAGCATGTCCGCTGTTGTCTCTGCGCCTGTTTTCGGTGTTTCTGGTGGGATTACATCTGGTCCTGCTGCTTTCCCACATTTCAGTAGCTTTATGACGCTCAGAACTTCCACTTTTGTTGGAGGATTTATGTTCACTTGTAGTTCAGCGGCTGCAGATGGTATTTCTGGCGGAAGTGAAGGTGGTGGTCGATTCAAGAGCTTCTTGAAATGGTCGGCCCATTGTTTCCTTTGTTTCTCTTCTTTCGTAATTAAATTTCCTTCTTCATCTTTTATTGGCTTCGTCTGCGTTGATCTCTCCTCTTCCAGATAGTAACCTGGTTATTTGATTCGATGTTGTCAGGTCTCTCTTACCAGCCGGCAGTCTGTTTTGCTTCACTTGCCAGTGTTTTGTAGAAGTGTCTTTTGTCTTTCCGTACACTCATCTCCACTCCTTTGTCCAGTGTAGTGTTTTATACATTGTGCTCAGTTCCTCTTATCGTTGAGCATCCTTGCACTGGTTTATCTTCTGTTTCACCATCCTCCTCTCCTCTATCAGCTTCCAGGTATCCGTCGAGATCCATTCCTTATCTTCTTTCCTCTTCCTTCCTAATACGGCTGTGCAGGTTTCTTTCCACATCTCTTTCAAAGACTCCCAGTGTTCTTCCACACAGGTTTCTTCAGGGATGTTCCTCGATATCTCCCACTTTGTCTTGATGACTGGCGTGAAGATTTCCTTTGTAGTTTCATCCTTCAGTTTCCGAGTGTTGTACTTGAACTGTGTGTGGTCTATCACCAGCTTCCTTGAAGGCTTCTGACTTGATTTGGAAGGTCCCTTGCACTAGATAGTAGTCTGAACCTACATCTACTCCTCTTCTTGACCTTGTGTCAAGTAGACTGCGTCTCCATTTTCTTCACATTGAGATAAAGTCGATTTGATTTTTAGTATGTCCATCTGGTGAAATCAAATCCATGTCGCTTTGTGGATATCCTTGTGCTTGAACACAGTGCCTCACTGCAATCACCAAATCGTTGAATGCACAGAATTCTGCAAACAATTCTCCATTCTCGTTCATTTCACCGAGCGCTTCCCTGCCCATGGTCTGTTCTCTTCCTGTGTTGTCCCCTCCCAGTTTGGCATTCATGTCACCCCACCAATTAGAATTTTGATGTCGCCAACAGGAGTGGCGTCTTGTCCATTACTGATTGCAGTTGTTTGTAAAATCCCTCCTTCTTCTCTTCATCTACATTATTTGTAGGTGCATAGCGTGGCATTGTATGATTGTGACCTTCCTTCCTTTTGAGTTGAACCTTGCTGTCATGATCCTGATGCTGGAGGAGATTGGTTCCCACTGCATGAGAGCCTTCGATGCTGTTGCGGACATCATGATAGCCAGTCCAAAACTCAGTGTGCTCATGGTAGTCGTGTCGTCTGCGTGACAATATCGGAGTAGATTATTGATTCTCCAGTTGATAGTTTGGAGAGTCCACTCCCATTCCATCTGCTTTCGCAAATTCCAAGCAATTCAATGTGACACCTTCTCATCTCCTTTGCAATCTGGGCTGCCTTGCTGGGTTTGAACATCGTGCGGACATTCCATGTCCCCACGTTTACTTTCGCTTTCATCGGGGGAGAGAAGACACACCAGCCAATTGGCTTCCCGAATGCAGGCTTTCACCAACTGGCGTCATTTTGCCTCTTCGATTCCAGCGAGGAATAAGGTTGTTATTATTTTTTATATTTGGTTTGTGCTTTGAAGTTTCTTTAGCGGTTAAATTTGTTTTCCTGGGTAGGGTTGCTAGCCCTATACCCAACCTTGCCTCTTTACCTGGGCTTAGGACCGGCTAGTAACTAGTGAACTAGTCAATCAGTGAGGTTCCAACTAGTGAATACCTCGTTAAAATTCAACTCCACTTATTTCGGTCTGATGAACCATGTAGTATCATAAGCACTTACACAAAGTGTGACACATAGCTTATGGGGGACAAAACTTTATTGATCAAAATACAACATAGAGACTTCTACAAAATCCAGTAAAAAGAGATTAATGTATGAATTGAGATTAGTTCCAATGCTATCCTATTAAAAATATTTTTAAGAAAGAGATAGAAATGTGATGTAAATCAACTCATAGATTCCAGTTCTTAGCCAACCAATCAATATACACAACATTTTATATTTAAACATCATGAAGTAATCAAGTTAACTAGTGGTTTGAAAACCTATTTAATGGTTGAATTTTGCAATTTAGTGAGCATGACAAAAAGAAGTGAAAACCCTACAGCTACTAGTTAAAGTGTATCCATCATTCCAACTCTCTTACTGAATCAATTTTCTACATTTGAGTTGAAGAGATCAGCAAATAAAGTCAGACAAAACGCTTCAAGTCTTTTTAATCCCTTGTGCTAAACTTTATATGATGGTATAAGATGAAGGTGAAACAATACAACTACCTATTTAAAGCCAAATGCGAATCGAATTCGAAATGCAGTCAACAACCTTGTGAACATCCGTGCAGTAGGCAATGAGCCACACGTGGAGTGTGAGGGTTAATGATACTCTCTGGTTTCCCAAACCTCGGTAGGTTAAGCAGTGTTAGGACCTATGACTTATAAGTTGAAAGTCATTTCCATAACCAGTGAGCCACAGATCCACGAAGCCAACTGCATAGAAAATTCATAATGACAAGTTAAAGGTTCTCAATAAAAATATGGTTAACTTACTTGATCAACGGCATTTTTCCACTTAGTTGACATTTCTTCTGTGGGAGTGATGGAAGATTGATTTAACGATAGGGAACATGAAGCAGATTTAGTACAATATTCACAGCTACATATAAAGAAGTATTGCTGTTGAAGTAGTGTAAGCCTCTGGGAAGCTGATGGATAGTGTAAATAATGCGGTCCATAGCAGTTAAATATCTCAGATCCAGGAGTAATTGGTTTTAAACAACGTAAGATTATTAGTGAATTCTACGAGATAAAAAAAATGAATAAGATTTTTTATAGAAGGATATAGGAGTTAAGTCAGTGACTACCCTCACTCGGTGTAAGCGACTTCATCAAGAAAGAACATGTTAACTAGTCAGACAACTCAATCATAGCTGGCTTCAATAACTATTCCAGATGTATATGCATATAGATATATGTCAGTTGGTAGTGCCAGTTAAAACTTCAAGTTTAGTTGAAAGACTATACAGGTAGACAAAATATTTCATGCACGAATTCTTCTTCACGGATTTAAAAAGTTAAGCCAGCCTGCTTAAATCATGGGTTGCAAAAAAACTTTGACCGTTTATATTTCATCAAATTCTTCCCTTCGAGTTTGTTTTAATTTTTTAAATGTCTTCTGAACGCATCATGTAGTCCCGCACGTTTCTAAAATGATTTCGAACTTTCGTTTCTCAAGCTGAGAACAAAACAAAGCAAAAACGTTACGCCGGATGGGGATAGAGTTGTAAGTACTCAAGCATACTGCCTCCCAGATAGTAATATTGTCCCCACCGAAATTCGAACTCGGAACCGACCGCTTCGAACGTCAAAGCGTTGTCCACTAGACTGCCGAGCCACGATACCCACTTCTTGTGCGATGGGAGGCAGGTACATCCAGCTGACGAGTCCCAAATAGAACAAAATGTGCATCCTGAACTCCACTGCTAGCCACTATCTGTCATTACTATATATAATTAAAACAAAGGCAATATCGAGGCATCCACTAAGAAGCCCATGAGCCAACAGAGACAGGTCAGTTCGGTTCGATCAACGGCGGTATAGTACAAGCAGTCACACTATATATAGTCTTGTTGAAAATTTAACTTACTTTAATTTTAGGTGATGATTGAACGTGAAGTGGAAATTTGGGCCACGGTACGAATCAAACCCGTGACCACCGGATTTTCGACCCCGTGGCTCTACCAACTGAGTTATGAGACTTAGTTGCTGACGGGATTTTTATTTCACTTCAATAACCAAGGGGATTTCCCGACTAGCGTGTAAATTCTTGACGTGTTACCATTGCTTGTTCGTACACACACTCATTGCCCAGTCACAACTTCTTATTCTGATCCAAATCTAACTGAATTAAAGGAGAGGAGCGTCATATTGTTTATCAGTTTGACTATCCGACAGGACAGCCAGTGTCAGTACGATCAAGTGATAGTAACACCTCACGAACACATATAGCAGTCAGGCAAAAACCTTGGTGATTGAAATGAAATAAAAATCTAGTCAGCACATGGGCCTTGTAGCTCAGTTGGTAGAGCACTGGGTCGTAAACCCGGTGGTTGCCAGATAGAATCCTGTCACAGTTCAGATTTTTATCTTACCACTAATCATTACCCAGTATGAATACAAGTTTGCCAAACTACACCCGTCCTAGATAGTCAAACTGGTATTTTATTTCACTGAAAGAAAATGGAACATAATTCAGTAGCTAAGACGGACAGAACTAGTCATAGCGTCGTGGTAAATCATAACAGCAAATCAAGTTAAAAACAATTACGGATAAAAAGACATTTGTGTTGAGGGGAGATGAACAAAGATTGGAGAATCAGAAGATCTTAAGGTCTGGTTCACAGTTCGGTCTAATAACACAGTCGGTAGGTTATTAGTTCGAGTCTTTGCAGTGAACTAAGTTTCATTTCACTTTCAATCAGTACAGTTATAGCAGGCATTTCATATTATATTCACTTAAATGTATTTAAAACTGAACTTATAATTTAATACTGGCTTAACTGTCCTGATAGAGAACTTTTTTTCTCCCTCCTGCTGGTTTCAAGTTTGGTTTTTATTATTAAAACAACATCCCAGTTTATACTTCACATTATCTCCTATTTTCACACTGTCTGGTGTAGGTGGATCAGCAGTGTTAACGATAATCAGGAAAGCAACAGTAATTTGGGAACTTTGTATAAGGATTGGAGACAGATATGAGGTCAACACACCGTCCTCACTTTTAGATTAAAACCATCTTTAAGTTACTGAAATTTTCAAAGTCACTGGAAAGAATGGTATTTCAAGTCATCATTGGTTAACTTGGAGAGATGAATTCTTGAGACAAATGAGACCAAAAACATATTGATATAGAAGTGGATGCCAACAGTCAATATTTGCATTGAAACTATCTGCAAACGATGGGCGTGGCTTATTGCCCAACTCGTCTTTCCTCCCTTGGATTCCACTCGAGTGCCTGGCCTGGCGCGTGATGTCTTCAAATGGTCTTCTCAGTGTATGCCCAATCCATCTCCACTTCCTTCCAACGCATATTTGTTGATCTATAGGTTCTTGGTTGGTTCGTTGACAGCCAGCCAGAGTTCCTTGTTGCTTATTCTTATTATTCTGGCCATCTGATCTTCAGCGTCAATATCGAGTGAGCGTAGGCAACATCTATTGATGTATGTCTGTAGTTTGTTGGAAATGCTTTTCGTAACGCGCCAAGTCTCTCAACCACCACACATAAGCACTGACTTGACTGACTTATCATTGAAAACCCAGATCTTGTTCACGCTTTATGTTGAGTGCATTGCAGCAGATCTGCACATTGCTGTCTTTCCGATCCTGTCCTTGACATCCTCATCTGTGCCGCCACCTGTAGTTGAAATGATGCTGCCTAGGTAGGTGAAGGAGGCTAATTCCTTTAAGTTTCTCCCGTTGATGGTGATTGGAGTTTGTTGTTGTTGTTGGTTGGGTATCTTCGTCACTTCTGTCTTCTCTACGTTCACCTGAAGGAAGTCCCGTCTTCGCTGCCTAGAGTGAGTTAGGAAGACATATTAACAAAAAGTTACTTGTTTAATGATGACATCACTTTAGTGGTTCTATAGGTCAGCTCATGATCAAAATCAACGAGATATTCAATAAAGATATTATTTAGTATGGAGGTTTTTAAGGATTGACTGGTTTCAAGGTAGTATTCATCACGAACTGATATCAGTTAGAGAACCAGTAGTTCCCTCTCTTTCAAAATCCTATTCTTAAAACCATAATGAGGAAAACTTATTCAGGTGGTTATAAACCAAATATAAAAGTGAAAAATATTAACAGTAACATACACTCACCTGAAAATTATGAATAATATTAGGATCACAAGAATGATTCAGCAAACTAACACATGGGAATAAGCCTGTTGCAATTCTAGCCTGTCGTAGTCGTCGAATAAATGGATAAACCACTTTAAGATCAATTGACACATTCAACTGATTAGGTAGCCATGCTTCAAGATCAGGATAGTAGGCTTGGATTTCAGTCACAGCGTGTGCATTACACTGAAGACGTCTCAAAGTGTCAAAACACCAAAGACCTTGAATCATTTCATTTTCTTTTTCTACCAACTTTAAATTGGTTTTATGATTGTAATTGAGAATTTTTGATATCAACCAACCTGTTAGTGCATATTCAAATAAATCTTCAACAGGAAATTCCATGAAATGTTCAACTAACTGATCAGTAGTAAGATAAGAATCCTGGTGTGAATGAGGATAATGCTGACGAAGCCATGCAAGACGAAAACACAAATGTCCCAATCCAATAGAATTCAAAAGGAACATAAACCTAACCGGTAAGAAAATATCAAATTTTAAAATTTTAAACTGAAATATCTAAACCATTGATAGTCTATTTATTGAGAGCCTATGATGTTATTCAGAATGTGCGTTTCTAGCTAATCACACAGCTTATCACCTTGAGATCAATGTACCACAATGAATATTGTATGATAACACTTCAACTTAGAAATCAGTGGTTCAAATATCATAGAGCTATCCAATAGGTCAGTAAGTTTCCATAGCTACCATTTAAACAAAAAATACCAATTTTCATTAGATCCTGCTATCAATTTTAGTAAAATACAAAAATCACCCTCTGTTGAAGCAAACGTTTCTTCTGCATATTACAATGTAAAGAGATAGCTACTGAAGCTGGATAAACAAAAAAGGAAACCATGGTAATGGACAGCTGCAGTGAAACTGAAATACATCGTCGTGAAATAACAGAATTTCAAAAATGTAGGCAATGGGATTCCAAAGCATTGATTAACACATTCTTCATGAGACTTGGTAGTCAAAGGCTCAATTACGCAATTAGTCGTCAGTGCTAAGGACTCTCAAACAAAGATACATCAACTGTTCATTATCCCACGATTTTTATAAGTTTCCTAGCCTTTATATTCAGCCAAACTGAAGTAACTAGCTAGAAAGGGGATGAGTAATGATTACAGCCTGAACAAGTCACACGAAAATAAAATAACTATTCGGTATGGCATTGTGATAAGAAATAACAACAGAATTTGTTCTGTGTGCTGATGATAATTACAATCTAAAACCTCCACATTCTAAAAAGCAATCACCAGATCTCAGGTTCCACTTTCTACTTGAATACAATGTGGTTTCTTCCTCAATCTCAGTCATCGTTCGAGGTATTCTACGGAGCGAATCCACCACATAAAGTTTAATTAGGAAAACTTTATTTTCTATTTCAAACCTTAATGTTATACAGAAGACTGTACTGTAAAGGATCTTAAAGGTTTTAATTTAGTGTGTAGTAAATACGAGTATCAGAGTACTGATACAGCTGTCTAACCCTTAGTGCCTTACTCCAAATGAGCGAAAAGGTTATCCGGTGGTTAGATCACCGTGGTCTAACTAGAGGGCACTGATGATCAGTGTGAATAGCCAGTAGAACATTTCATGCAGCCTTTACGCTTGCAATTTAAAAGGCCAATTATGGTGTCAAGCTGATCATTTTATGTGATCTGAATAGTTTGTTTTCTGGGCTGATTTTGTTATGGAAATATGGATTAATTTAAACGGCATTTGGCATTCAGTACTCCGGAATGACCCAAAGAGAACAAGGACTGTAGTTGTAATACGCATATTTCAAGCAGTCCCAAAAACGAGTCACCCGACCAGTTCGATCAATATCAGTCATATAGCAATAGATATCTGGATTTACATCAATATAGTCAGTAAGATGGACTCGGTTGTAGGATCAGCATTAGTCAAAGTAACGTAGACCAGCAGTAACCGATGTGAATACAGTGACTCCAAACGTCACCCTGACAACTGAAATACCCAGTTAGTTAACGTTATTTTGGCAGGTCAGGTAGTTTTGCATAAAATACAGGAATATGATTAGTTGTCTCAGCAGCTGCTAGGGTGGCCTTTAAAGTCACTCGACAACTCATATATGCATCACAGGGAGAGACTTTAAAGGCCACCCTAACAACTGCAGAGATGACCAATTAGGTATCTACATTTAGGCTAGAAGGGTAGTTTTTCATAAAATGCAGGAACTTAACTAGCTATTTCAGTTTTTAAGGTGGCTTTTAAAGATACCCCATCACATGTTTGTTTATCTGGATGATAGTGAGAAATCAACACAGTTCTCAACGCAAACCATAGTGAAATTTCTCACTACAAAATGATTGGTGTGATCACAAGTAGGAATTCATCATAGTCTGATATCAGTTGGAGGAACACCGGAAATCTGGGAGCACTGGACAGCTGTTTCATCCTAGTATGGGGCTCCTTAGCAGTGCACACTCACTGGATTCCGACCCAGCGGGTCAACGGTGATGTGCTGGTCACGGGACCTGAAGGTTCTAGGGCTCGATCCCTGGCGGTATCATGAGTGTGCATTGCTGAGGAGTCTCATACTAGGATCAAAAAGCTGTCCAGTGTTCCCAGACTCCCAATATTCCTCCAACTGATATCAGACCATGATGAATCCCAATCTGTTCTACTTTTCAATAATGGAAGTAAGAAGGCAGTAGCATAATCGCCGTTAGCTTTGATTCTGAACCATATCTGTCATCATCTGAAGTAATGATCATGCATGATATCTGGGACACCAAACAGAAAGTTGTGATGCACAAACTAATCCTTTATATTATGGTGCTATGTCATACAGCGACATACACCTTCTTCTAATCAATCTGATGGCAAACGGTATGGGGCCCTCTAGAATGGTATTTGTAATATGTGACTAAGTCATCAAAAACGGTATTTAAGGATGACGACTCAGTGAATTAGGATATCCACTAGACTGAGAAGATTGACTGATGGTGACTGACAAAATCAATGTAGAATCTCACACGCACATACATCGGCTCAAGTTGACACGTTTCACAGGGATACACAAAGACCAGGTGCACAGAAGAAGACATATATCAAAGTGGACAAAGTTGTGTAAGCGAATAAACAATATAAAGATAACAGGTAGTTCAAATGCTCAGGCTTTAGAAGATATCAAGGAGTAAATACATCTGTGACACTGTGACCGATTTTCAGGCAAGTCACTAAGAGACCTCAATCACTGATTCCTCTCGTCTAGGGGACCCAAACCAGTCAGTCTGTATCCCCCCATACGACTGAAACCAACAGTAAGAGACTTCATTAACTGGTGCCACATCTTGATCTGATGGAGATGATGCACTGTATGACTTGGGAATTACTTACATGATGTTTTAACCAGATGTAAGTAGTCCTACAAGGAAAACGCTGATCGAATAAACAAACTCGTTGGACACCTTCAGCTTAGAGACTAAGTTCCACAAGTGTATAACAAATGAAGGCATTCATCTTGTAGTTGTCATTGGATTTTGAAGATACTGTTGTTTGATATCTATCTGATCATCATCTCATTATGTGTTTCTTTCAGTCATCTGGAACATATGATTTGTTTCCTTGCAACCTACCATATGTGCAGTGCCAGAGAGTGTAGCGACATGAGCCAATACACTATTTTATTGCAGCTAGCAAAATGAATACAAAAAGAGAAGTCATATAACGTAAATATGACTGACCGACATTCTACCATATGCAAAGCAGGTTGCTGGAAATCTTGAAATAGATGTAAAGAATTTTTAATTTTTTTACACTGAGAACTACAGTCTCTTGAAAGTTCACAATAGGCAGCATCACAACAATATGGACATACAAAACCCACAGAGTTCAGTTGATTAAAACACTTTGAGCATTGATTCATACGTTGTGATGGTAGAAGTAGTAGGTACTTAAAATTATTATTGTCATCATCATTAGTACCATGAGACTGGGTATTTATAGTTGTAATCCATCCACCCGCAGGTTCAACAGCTATAATATCACCTGGTTCAAACGGTTGTGTAGCAACAACATGTCTACCTTTCACGCAATTCGTATCAACACGTACACCATTCGATAAACCGTAATACTACAAAAAAGATGCATAGGATAAGAAAGTGAGTTGTTATTCATTGAATAGGAGAATGCCATTCTACTGAATAAGTAACTGACCAACAAAAAACATAAGAGTACGCAGAGATTGAACGCAATAGTTGATTGATAAGAAAAAATAGGATAATGCAACTCAACCTGCGACATGTTTATGCGCTAGGCGGTGAGCTGCACTTGCTATGAAGGTTTATGATACCAAACAGTTTTCTAGGTCGAAGTAGATGAAGCGGGGTTCGAACCCGGAATGCGTTACTTGAAGTCATTTTCTCAATCCGTTGATCCACATATTCACTCACGAGAAAAAGTCTGACCAAACTTTTTATTCCGCGAATTCTGCGTATATTGCTTTCCCACCCTAGAGTAAAAAAATATACTTGTAGTTGTAGAACTTACCTTACTAACTATTCCCACTGACACTAAATAGATGAAACGATTATCAAATGTAGTAGTTTATCCCCTCCTCATTTGTTTATATCCGTTTAATGTGCATGACAGACATGAATAAAGGTCATACTTTTACTCCTCCACAATGACAGTGACAACTCTAATTCCTGATTCAAAAAGGAAGCATTTATGGATCCAGTTAGTGGAGGGGAAAGACGACATCTTTTTGGAATGTACACAATACAGTCTTTGCTTTTTTTAAGTAATATATGATGTAGTGTCCTTGGCAGAATTTACACCAGCAAGTGATCAACTAGGGTGTTTGTCATGATCGAAATAATCGAAAGAGAGATGGTATGGAAGTAGCCGAAAAAGAAAGGAACTAGAAAAAGAAAGCAAATAGTCGATGCACAAATGATATTCAGCATAAGGTTGTAGTATATTTCTCAGCACTGAAGGTAATCTGCTTAATAAGCAAACTTTTACTGAGTTTACCGTTATTGTATTCGTCACATATACGTTTAGATTGTAGTGGTCACATTTCGTGGGAATGTAATGGGATCAGAGATATCTAGGCGTTGTATATTTCATCCGGTATACGTAAATCCATATAAAATAAAAAGGAATGAGAAAGTACAACCCATCATAAACTTTAGTGTGCCCATGTGTCTTTCGGTAGAAAGATTTTGGGCGAATGACTAAACTCTTCCTGAACTTTGTGCTGATGATGTTGTCTAGTATGAAAATGACAGCTTCACGATTCACCCGTTCAGCTTAGAGAACACGACACCATTAAAATGCTTTCTACATTCATTATTTTAGTAATTCTATTTTCGAATGAGGGTAAAACAAAATGAGCTATAGAATATGATATGGCTTTTGTATCAGGAGAATCAGGTGTCCATCCTGCCAATAATACACTTTATGAAGGGAAATGACTATATGCTTCAACATAAATGCTGTTGAAACATCTTCGTATTCGATTAGAAACCTGTCTGGAACTCTGGAATTAGTCATTCCTGCTTCGAGATGAGAATCCCGAAGTTCTAATGAGAAGTCGAAACCAATGGGGCCAACCAAGTCGAATGTGAGGAGAGTTACTGAACGACAGGGTTGGATGGACGTCACGCTATAACGTGAATTGACAGAATTAGGAAATATGGACCGTTGGTTTCTGACTCAATGGCAACGTGCTGGTCCCGGAACCTGAAGATCCTGGGTTCGATCCTTGGCGGGGTCATGGGTGCGCACTGCTGAGGAGTCCCATACTAAGTCGAAACAGCTGTTCAGTGCTCCCAGGTTTCAAACAGTTCTTCAAATGATGTCGGTTCATGATAAATGCCAATCTGAAATCAATAAATAAATCCCAGCAGTCCCATAAACCTCCAAATTACACTGGCTGGATTTGGATGAGAAGTTCTGACTGGGCAGTGAGCGTGAATACGATCAAATTCACATGTCAGTTGGGTAAAACCCTTGATGATTGAAGTGAAGCCAGGTCTCGTAACTCAGCTGGTAGATCACCAAGTCAGAAACCCGTTGGTCACTGGTTTCAATCCTGCCGCGACCAAGATGTTTTCACCATCAGTCACCACCCAGTCTCAAAGCAATTTTACCAAACCACAGCTACCTGATATAGTCAAATTGATAATGATGGCTTTCTCACCGTTGTTTGTGTCACAGTGTCTGATATTCTGTACACTTCTTTGTATTATAATTGTAACAACCGGTACCAAAAATTTAGTAGCTGTGCAGAACACGAAGTTTGCATGTGAGCACTTGTAGAGTACACTGTCAATCGACTTCACACCATACTTAATTTCATCTGCTTACATTTATATACACTGAAGTATAATTAAATGAGTGGTCGAATAGCAGTTTGTTTTCTACAGGAGATAAGTTTTCCAAGTCATCTGTTTCAGTCGCACTTGTTCGGATCTTGCTGCAATCCAAGTTTTTGTTTCAACTTCAGTTATCACCTGGTTACACAAAGAACGGTCTCCTGTACTACAGGTCGAAAACGAAATGCGCTCAGCAGCCACGTGTATGTCCATCTTGTAGGCACATACCTACTCCACCTTCGTAGGTGGAGTGAAGTTAGGAACCAGTGAACCATTAATTGAAAGTCAACTGCCTAAAACAATGAGGCACAGCTTCACCATCATGGGTAGTTCCATCAGTAATCTCATGCATGACTGACTTCAACCAAACACTAAGTTTACACTAACTTCAAACAGTTTTATGGTCAAAATGAGGAATTAAACGCGGCATCCTTAAAAGTGTACCTGTATTGGGAATCACATTACCGAAAGCATTCATGATTTTTTTCGACGGAGACAGACTAATAGTTCTAACCAGTTGCTCAGACCAAAGCAAATATACTGCATTCAACTCGATACAATTCAGAGATAACAGACAAGTTCCTGTACAGGGTTTACCACATTTACAGCAGTTGGCAAAACATTGGCAGGGGTTGTGAGACTGGAACTCCTGACCTTCCTGGTTAAAAATTGATTTTTAAACATATTCATGTTAGACTGCAAAACTTACCGTTGAATTATGATTGTATTTCGGCTTCGGAATATCTATTGTCTTTACATCTTTCTTATTTTTATCAATGAATGTAACAATGAGAGAGTGGTGAATTTCCAATAATTTACTTAATGTAAGATTATGATCCCATTCAATAAGTGGAGGTAGATTTAACTGTTTGCAACACTTGTCTAAACGTGTTTTTAAACGAAGAATCAGTGATTTGTTGCCACAATTTTTAATGCTTGTGATATTCACCAAGTGTAATTCCAGTGCTGTAAGTATCTCTTCTAAACAAGAGGACCATAACTGTTGGACGGCTAGTATAGCAGACAGATTTCCATGTAATAACGCTCCTTCCATACAAAATTCCTCAAGACTGTCTTGACTAGATGGCATGAAATATGCATTGGGTGCGTAAAGTAAACCTGTCCGATAGGCAGTAGCTGAAGCATTCAGATTCCCCTGTCTGCAACGAAAAGAACATATTAATAATAGTCATCAGATGGAGACAGAGAGGGGGAGAGCAGAACATATTAATAGTAAGCTATCGGTGTAATATTATCAAAATGCATATGTGATGGAAGCATGCTGATTCTCAAGGCGAATGTGTAAAGCAATCAATCTAACAACGGATAAGCAAACAAAAATTGAGTGATTAATTGGGCAGAATCGAAGCATCCGCATGAGCCTATTTACCAACAGAGGTCGACCAGTTTGGCCCAGTATAGCAACAGGAGATTGCAAATATTGAGTAACGAATAAAAATTTCCTAAGGTTAATCCTTCAATGTTGACAGAACAATCTGCAGATGAAATCAAATTACAATGTACAGGAAGTAGAAAAAGCGATAAAGTGAATTATTATTTTAAAAAAGTAAAAAAAGTGAATGCGTATAAATGAATAAACCGGAAGGAATTGAGACTGAAATGATAAATAGTACCCATTCCCTTGGTGAAAAAAAATTATTGATTGCAAGTGTGTCAAGCATCCTTCAACAACAGTTTTCATTGTATCAAAGATTTATTACCACACCACATATGGTGTTGAAGTACCCTGATGCATTTATCTAAGCGGTAAGGATGAGTGGTAGATATCTATGCAACACGCCTCCTCATTATAGCAAGTAATAAGAACTTCCAAGGTTTTTATGTCGTTAACTGCCCATCACAAAACTTCTCCTAGAGGTTATTTTTTATGGAACCGCAATTAAATAGAGAGCATTACTACCACTACATAAAGTACAGAAACTTTGATGATGTGTACCACTAAACTGCTAAACTGGTTTAATTTGGAGGTTTTATCGGCACTAAGTGATTTTCCAAGTTGATATTCTTCATGGACTGATACTTGGTGGAGGAACACTGGAAACCTTGGAACACTAGACAGCTATTTCATCCTAGTATAGGAACTGAGCACAGTGTATAAAACACTGAACAAAGAAGTAAAGAAGAGTGCACGCAAAGACAAAAGACACTTCTACGAAACACTGGCAAGTGAAGCAGAACAGGCTGCAGGTAAGAGAGACCTGATAACATTGTATCAAATAACCAGGTTGCCATCAGGGAAGAGACCAACACAGATGAAACCAATGAAAGATGAAGAAGGAAATTTAATTACGAAAGAAGAGAAACAAAGGAAACAATAGGCCGACCACTTCAAGAAGCTCTTGAATCGACCACCACCTGCACCTCGCCCAGAAATACCACCTGCAGCCGCTGAATTACAAGTAAACATAAATCCCCCAACGAAAATGGAAGTCCTGAACGCCATAAAGCTACTGAAATGTGTGAAAGCAGCAGGACCAGATGGATTACCGCCAGAAGCACTGAGAACAGATGCAGAGACAACAGCAGACATGCTCACACCACTATTGCAGAAGGTGTGGAAGGAAGAGAAGGTACGTGCCTATTGATTGGAAGAAGGGTTACCTTGTCAAACTGCCGAAGAAAGGAGACCTCAGTGCTTGCAAGAACTGGCGCGGAATCACTCTCCTGCCCACCCCAAGTAAAATATTAAGCCGCATCATCCTGGAGAGGCTTAAAGACGCACTGGATTCAAAACTGCGACCGGAACAGGCAGGCTTCAGGAAGTACAAATCATGTGCAGACCAAATTGCAACGCTTCGCATCATCATAGAACAGGGCATAGAATGGCAATCAGCTCTCTACCTCAGCTTCATCGACTTTGAGAAGGCCTTTGACAGCGTCGACCGAGAAGTAATTTGGAAACTGCTTCAATACTACGGAGTACCGCAAACCTTTATCCGCCTCATTCAACAACTATATGAAGATGCCACATGCCAAGTAATTCACAATAGGAAGCTCAGTGATGCTTTTGAAATGAAGACAGGAGTGAAACAAGGTTGCCTACTATCCCCTATGACATTCCTGATTGTGGTGGACTGGATCATGCAGCAAACAGTAGGCAGCGAGAAGAGGGGGATACGCTGGACTGCGGAAAAGAACCTAGAAGACTTGGATTTCGTCAATGATGACTTGTGCCTGATGTCACATAAACTTGAAGATCTACAGGCAAAAACTAACAAGTTGATAGAAGAGGCAGCGAAGACGGGACTTCAAGTGAATATAGAGAAGACAGAAGTGATGAAGATACCGCACCATCAACAAAAACAACAAACTCCAGTCACCATCAACGGGAGAAACTTAAAGGAAGTAACCTCCTTCACCTATCTAGGCAGCATTGTTTCAACTACAGGTGGCGGCACAGACGAGGACATCAAAGCCAGCCGGGATCGGAAAAGCAAGACAGGCGTTCATTAGCCTGAAACCAGTGTGGAGATCTTCTGCACTCAGCATCTGGAACAAGATACGGATTTTCAACACCAACGTCAAGTCAGTGCTCCTGTATGGTTCAGAGACTTGGCGAGTCACGAAAGGCATTTCCAATAAACTACAGACATTCATCAACAACTGCTTACGCTCGCTGCTGAAGATCAGATGAGATGGCCAGAAAAAATAAGCAACAAGGAACTCTGGGAACGAACCAACCAAGAACCTATCACGCAACAAATATGCAGGAAGAAGTGGAGATGGATTGGCCATGCACTGAGAAGGCCGACTGAGGACATCACGAGTCAGGCCCTCGAGTGGAATCCCCATGGGAAGCGACGAGTTGGACGTCCAAGGGTGACATGGAGGAGGTCGTGTGAGGAGGAAATGAGAGCTTGTGGGCTGTCGTGGAACCAGGTTCAAAAGATCTCAGAGAACAGAGGTCACTGGAGACGTGATACTGAAGCCCTATGTTCCACTAGGAACCCAAGGGACTAATAATAATATAATAATGAGACTCCTCAGCAGTGCGCACCCTTGACCCCGCCTGCGACATTACGAGTTTGTCCATATTGAAGGTGGGATGGGAGTGTGAATCAAGAATAAATTTTCCGACAATAAAGTACTTAAAATCAACGAACCACAGACAGTAATTGAACAAACGAAGAATAAATACCATCCAAAATCAGAATCAGCTCTATTACAACCAGTTATTCTATATTCCAATGATATCAGTAGTATTCACTTACTTTAAATATGTATGACTGTTTGAAACACAGAGGGAAGTGATTCTTTCCGTTTCATCATAATAGCCAGACATTAGCATCGATAGCGGTTTGTTTTTGTGCATCTAATCGAAATTACTGGACCCTAGTCACTTGAAGATTTAACATTTTTGGTAACGAGTTGAGAAATCAACAGTGTTGGTATGCGTAGTCAACTGTCGAGTATTGCATCATGTGCTCAAAACCTGCTTCACCTACCAAGGTTTAGGAAGAATTTTATTGACTCAGTGACTTTTTGGATAACACTCTAGCGTTAGAATCGACTGGTCCTGGGAGGAATGATATCATTCACTGGGATATAAGTACATCCAGCTGATGAGTTAAAAATAAGGTGAAACACGTGTCCTGGATTCCACTGCCAGCTACCATCAAAATGAAACTATAGGCAACATCGAAGCATCCGTGCAGGAGCCCAAATACCAACAGAGATCGACAAATCCGATCGAATCAACGACGGGGAATTAAAAGCGATAATAAAAATTACTTTATGTTGACCTAGTAAATCATGACCGAGAAGCTGCATTAATCTTGCTACAAATACCATTCAATTATATTTAGTTCAAAGAATTGAGGTTTATATTCGCGAAAATGTTTGACAAACAGAAGTCGAACAGAATATCCCAAGCGTTAAGTGCATTATATGATTCACTCAATGACTTCTAACAGAACTTGATAAACAGACAGTAGTAAGTGCTGTGTAATCAATTAATTTGTTTATTATAATCAGTTTCAGTAAATGGTTTGAAGAAATCTAGCAGTTTGGTAAGTAATAGTGAGATTTTTCCAATGTTTCCAAGTAACCACATCACTTTTCCTACCATTCCCCTTTTAAATGAATCAGTGGGAAACTTAGTAGTAAAAAGTTAATGATGATTGAGAAAAATTAATTAAGTACTACTATCTGCTGTGATCTGCATGAATGACATCGATAATCGCCACACTATCTTGATAAAGATGTTGTTAGATTTCCAGTAAGCATGACTGAAATCGTTATGAAGTCTAACCATTCAACTAAAACGTAGTTCTTATTATAGTTGAAACTTAGGATTTTAATTTACGTAAAATGTACATTATCTACAGCTTTTATAAACTATCACTGTTTTAAGATTTATCTGTGTGCGAAACTAATAAGTTAATAAAACATAACATCAGCTTAGAAGATTGTACCACCATCATGTCTAGTCGTTTGATATTCCTTTTCTGGTATTTTAAATCAATCAAAATTGCTAAGAACAAATTTCTATGTATTTTATAAAATGAAGTCAAACATTTAGAAGAAAGTGAGTATTCGCCACTTCAACACAGTGGATACTTTGGCAATCCAGCGGTACAAGCCTAATCTTTGCGTTCAAACAAGCTACATTCAGTCTCCAATTTTCGTTATTCGTTTTATAGTCGTATAAGCAATTTTTAATGACCTTCTGGTCGTTATCAAGTAATTCACAATGGGAAGCTCTGTGATGCTTTTGAAGTGAAGACAGGAGTAAAACGAGGCTGCCTACTATCACCCATGATGTTCCTGATTGTGGTCAATTGGACTAGATCATGCAACAAACAGTGGGGAGCGAGAAGAAGGGGATACGCTGGACTGCGGAAAAGAACCCACAAGACTTGGATTTCGCCGGTGACTTGTGTCTAATATCACACAAACTTGAAGATCTACAGGCGAAAACTAACAAGTTGACAGAAGAGGTGAGGCAGCGCAGCGAAGACGGGACTTCAAGTGAATATGGAGAAGACAGAGGTTGAGGTGGTGAAGATACCCAACCAACAACTCCAACAACAAACTCCAATCACCATCAACGGGAGAAACCTAGAGGAAGTAACCTCCTTCACCTATCTAGACAGCATTGTTTCAACTACAGGTGGCGGCACAGACGAGGACATCAAAG